AATAGTGGTTTAATTATTAGTATTGTCATACATTAATCATGTTAATGTGTTTTATACTTTACTTTCAAAAGTGTTGATTTAATAAGCTCTTGAAAAAAAATTGTTGAAAACAGTTGATCAATAAAGTCACCATCTGACATAGCCAAGAGTATCATAACTGTACATATTAAATGAGCAACCTTTGACCAAAGTACAAAGTCAGTTTAAGTGAGCCTAATTAACAATACTCCAAAATACCAACAGTAAACAATATGTTCCCCTAAATACTGCGAGTAACTCATTAAGTGTCTGTTTACCATCAGGCTAAGCTAACTCTTGCAGTGCACCGGATAGTTTTATTGGGTTAAAAGTATGTCGGTTAAAAGCTCATTAGAGCTTATGTTGTCTCTGTTTGTATACCTTGCCGACTCTAAAATAAAGCTTATTTATTGGGTTTGAGTTGTTATTTAAGGTTTGTTCTTTTCTTGTTATTTATCTTGATTTCTCCTCTCCCTTTTGGATTTGTGAATTAGTGCACCTTTATTTTTCTTGCATTCTATAGTTGTCACTTTGATCTGATAGATCTCAGATAGTTTTGGTTATGAGCTTGTGACTTCATTATTAGCTGAACAATAATGAACATGAACCCCTGCATGTATTCAAGAATTAAGTTTATATCAAAATAAACATAATGGATCAAACTCTTTGTGTTCAGATGTTACACCAGATTTCCTGTTTTATTTCAGTAAGTTACTTGACATTGTGTCAATATAACAACCAAAAGACGGTAGTGTTGTGAGCAATATAAGCATTCAATCATAATTTGGTAAAATGAAAAATAACCATCAGTTACCTAGACAATAGTAGAAAAAAAATCTTTAATAAAAATGATTTTGAAAAAGGTTAAATTTAAACACTATTCGTCAATATAACCTACATGTAAGATATGGTATACAAGATTTATAGTCATCTTCTTCATTTAGAAGATTAAGCTGTATTGGATAAGTTTTCCCCTACTTAAAAAATCAGCTAGTGTTGCCCCCCTGTTTTTTGAGTGGCCTGTTTTAAAATTAAGGCAGAAAAACTATCAAAAAGGGTTATTGTCAAAATAACATACATTGAATTTGGATTTAATTATGTCAACGAAGATCTGGGTTTACAACAACTACATAAATTATTTCATTTGAAATATAATAATTATGTTTACAAATATAATTGCTGTTCAAAAAACGTTTTACACAAGTTACTAGAAGAAAACTTTATTTTGGACATCTATAACATACTGATCTTGCTCAGAGCACTGACATTTCAGAACATCAGGGATATCTCTGTGAATTGGTCTATGATATAATGATGTTGAAAGATATTATGTGCAGCTAAGTATTGATACATTTCATTAATCCCATAAGAAACTATTTAAAACAAAAGATTGCACTATTGTCAATATAACTTACACAAAATATACAAGGAAGGTCAATTTTACAAAAACATAGCAAGACCATGGATTTCAAATAAAAAGAGGTAGTAAGATACAGATGGTTGCTAACAAAATAATGTGAATTGATAGAGATATCAAAAACTTCAATTTTATATCCTAATGTCACACTTTCCAGACCACCTTTATGGCTTTACCCATATACGAAAAGGCGCGAAAATAATAATTACTCTATACACAAATTGTAATTGCGTATATAGCTGTGATGTCAGAACTTGGTAGATTTTCTTATTTTCATGATTTTGCCGTTATCAATAAATAAACTTATCAATGTAAAATATTGATAGACTTAATCTAGTAGGTTTGAAAGATTAAATATTATATGATGCCTAGCTATAAGTGTGATAAACAGTAAGATGAGTTATAATTTTTTCTATGGTCAGTACATGTTTTTCCAGTATAGAATTTCTACAAAAAGAGATTAAATTATCTAATTGTAATCAAAAACTAAGTAAATAGTGTGTTTTGGTTAAATATACATATTGGAATCACCTATTAAAAGTTTCAAACAATAGACACTGACAAAGGCAAACTTGACACTTATTTCATTTAAAGATTATTTTCAAAAAGAAAAATATTTAGATATCATTGATTTTAAGAAAGGCAGTTCATATGTTAATTAAGAATCGGTGCTCACCCATTACATTAGGAATTAAAAATGCCAGATACTAAAAAAAAACGTATTGTACAGCTGATAAAGTTGAGGATGAGCGTGATTTTTCAATCGCATGCTCACTGCATAACAATTTGAGGGATGAACTCTTTCAGCATATTTTTAGCACTTGTCAGAACTTTTAAAAGTTAAATAAACATGATGAATCTTCGAAATTTGTTTTGATGTTAACACAAGAAAACTTTACTATTATGGTAAAAAAAATGATGATTTTATTGTTAGTTCTTTTTAATTATGAAGCACAGGTCTTGATACTGACTGTTATTTGATATCAATGTGTTAGGTTTTTTTTTCTATTTTGTTTTGGCTCCGATTCTGACTGAGGCTTATGGTTCTATAGAGATAATTATATCATACTAGTATTGTAATGTCTTAATGTTGACCCAATCATTATACCGCCGTTTCTAAAAAATCGGGGGGGGGGGGGGGGCTTAACTGTTTTACCTCTGTATGTCCGTCCGACAATCCGTCAGTCAGTCCGTCAGTTCGTCCGTCCGTCCCATAAATATTTTCGTTTCATCTTTCTCATGAACAACATTACAAGGATTTTTTAAATTTGGTTTCCGGGTTTATTGAAGTCAGCTATATCGTGTGATGCGTTTTCAGATTCATTACTGAACAACTTCCTGTTAACCGAACACTTTTCACATGATAGCCAAGTTGAAAATTTTCGTCACATTTTTCTCAGGAACTACAATACAAGGATTTCCGAAATTTGGTTTCAAGTTTTATATAAGTCAGCTATACCGTGTGATGCTTTTTTCAGATTCACAACTCAATAACTTCATGTTTACCGAAATATTTGGGCGGGGGTATCATCAGTAGCTCGCACTTTCACTGATTGTTCTTGATTTATATGCTCTTTATAGACCCTGTAATTTGGAAAATGAAATATTCTTTTCTGTTCTATTCTATATGCAGATTTCGAATTGAGTATATACTTAGAAAGTATTCGAACTACCTTAGTCCTATGTTATATATACGGAGTTATTTCTTAAAATATGTTATAACATAAAAGAAATATTATAATACAGACAGGCACATTTTATTTTACCCTGATACCCTGATACTTGATAAGTGTCGGAGCAATGGGTTGTCGGACTATTGGGTTGTCGGACTAATGGGTTGTCGGACCAATGGGCTGTCGGACTAATGGGCTGTCGGACTAATGGGCTGTCGGAATAATGGCGTGTAACCGTTTACTTGACACTGATTCCAAAAATATATGGTTCTATATACTTTGATATTAATTAAGTAAAAAAAATAGCTACTTCCGGTTTAGAAAAGGTCACTTCTGGTTGTTTTTTTCAAGATCAAATGGCTTGCAACCTAAAGCAAAAAGTCCCATGACTCTATTATATATACACATGAGTTAAAAGCAAAATTCAAAATATAGAACGTCGAATCAAACTTTGACCTTGACCCTAATTACAAGGACATGAAACAAGGGCCTCAAATCCAAAGACCCTATGTCTTAATTATATATGATAAATAAGTTATATCACCGTATGTGTAATTTTAAATATAATAGGGGAGAAAACTCCCATTAAATGTCTCCGTACCCTTTCAAATCAAATGTACGTGTTACGACATGTCGCAACTAACAATTCTGTAAAAAATATTTTGTTGATATCTTATAAGATTTCTTAAATTTAGTAATAACAATAATAATCAAAATTTTGAACATGACATGACCTTTAACCTTGACCTTATTTTCATTTTTATGGACCAAGGACCTCAAATCAAATTACCCTAGGCCTCTATCACTTATGGTTTTCCAGTTACAAATACATTTCACTTATATCAAATACAAAAGAGGAAATAACTCTCATATGGAATCTTTCTACGGCTTCGGTCAAAATTAAACGAAACATCCTGAGGATATAGCGAGCAAATTGGATAAATAAATTTGTCGGTTTCTTATATGGTTGCGAAGTTTTAGAAATAAAAAGAAAAACAGTGTTAGGAGAGATAACTCGTACATGGAGAAAAGTATTCGGTTATGCAGTAGTAGTTACAAAAGCGTACAAACTGTACGTTATCATATTCCAAATATCTAAGCAACATCTTGCGAAACATCAATACAGCGAAGGAAAATTTTTATATATATATATATATTGCGATTGGTGCTGTATTATATCAATGGTATTAAACGAAGTGAATTTGATAGTTTCAATATTTCTAGATTCAAATGAACGCTTGGATGATAATGGGTTTTCTGTTATTCTTATTTGAAAATTTTTACAACCGAAAAATCATCGAAACCATTTTTATTAAGACAAAAATTAGGACAGGTAGGATTACTTGAACCACACATATATTTTTATTTGACCTTATAACCTGGGAACAGTATAGGTGTAATACCACCAAATCATGGTACGTCACATCCAGTTGTATACGAAAGTAGGTTGAAAAAAAATATTCCCTTGAATTTGACAGTTGTAGGTAATTAATCCTACATTTTATTGCAGTAAAACATTTCTGTGTCATAAACATATGTCTTGGGTATTTCAAAACACCATTATTTTTTATTTGGGATTTCTATTAAAGGAATATTTTGTAATCTTGAGGTTACATGGTGACTAAACCTTGTACACAGATAAAATAAGGGGAGAAATTTGATTGGTTAACTTCCAATGATGGTTATTTTCTTATATTCAATGAAATGTTATGAGCAATTTTTTCTATAGTACTGGACAGGATAAAACTTTACTCATGCCAAGTATTTCTTTATTTGAAACAAAGATAAATTCTGCACATGTTTTTGAAAAGTGCAAATTTAACAAAGACTAATAGGGGAAAATTAATGGTGGTATTACATCTATATGTTCCTGTTATAACCCAAAAACTTACCCAATCTGGCGCCAGCTGTCACTATGAATACTTGTAGATAAAGAATGATCGGCAGAATGGCTTGTATAAATGTTCTCATTCTAGCAACCTGTTTAATAAAAGAAACGCTTTCTTTTAAACATGTTCCGTAACTAAAAGAGGGACAAAAGGTATACTCAATTAAGTAACGTCTAACTCATGGATGTCTTTAAAGAGTTATCTCCCTTAATTCCAGTCTCCTCTATTCAGTAAAGTCTAACTTATGGATGTCTCTTAAGTGATATCTCCCTTTATTCCAGTCTCCTCTATTCAGTAAAGTCTAACTTATGGATGTTTCTTAAGAGTTATCTCCCTTAATTCAGGTACACCACCCTTAAAAAATTCGAACTTATGGATGTCTCTAAAGAGTTATCTCTCTTAGTTCATGTCTCGTCAATTAAGTATAATCTAAGTTATGTTTGTCTATAAAGAGTGATCTCCCTTACTACAGGAACACGACTACCCTAAGTAAAGTCTAACTTATGGAAAATAAACTGACAACGCCATGGCTAAAAATAAAAAGACAAATAATAGTACAGAAGACAAAACATAGAAAACTAAAGACCAAGCAACACGAACCCCACCAAAAACTGGAGGTGATCCCAGGACTTTCGGAATGCAATTTTACGGCTAGAAATAGGTGCTGGCTTATCTTTCGGTGTGAAGATACTGTTTGAATGTACTGTTTGAACATCAATCAACTGGATAATACGAGGGTAAGGATGGAGCTGTTTGAATGTACACAACAGCAATCAACTGCAATATACGAGGGTAAGGATAGAGCTGTTTGGATTTACACAACAGCAAGCAACTGAATTACACAAGGGTAAGGAGGGGGCTGTTTGAAGGTACACAACAGCAATCAACAGGCATATACGAGGGTTAGGAGGGGGTTGTTTGAATGTACACAACAGCAAGCAACTGGAATATACGAGGGTAAGGATGGGGCTGTTTGAATGTACACAACAGCAAGCAACTGGATTATACAAGGGTAAGGATGGGACTGTTTGAATGTACACAACAGCAAGCAGCTGGCATATACGAGGGTAAGGATGGAGCTGTTTGAATGTACACAACAGCAAGCAACTGGAATATACGAGGGTAAAGATGGGACTGTTTGAATGTACACAACAGCAAAATACTAGAATATACGAGGGTAAGGATGGGGCTGTTTGAATATACACAACAGCAAGCAACTGGAATATACGAGGGTAAAGATGGAGCTGTTTGAATGTACACAACAGCATTCAACAGGCATATACGAGGGTAAGGATGGGGCTGTTTGAATGTACACAATAGCAAGCAACTGGAATATACGAGGGTAAAGATGGGGCTGTTTGAATGTACACAACAGCAAGCAACTGGAATATACGAGGGTAAGGATGGAGCTGTTTGAATGTACACAACAGCAATCAGCTGGAATATACGAGGGTAAGGATGGGGCTGTTTGAATGTACACAACAGCAAGCAACTGGAATATACGAGGGTAAGGATTGGGCTGTTCGAATGTACACAACAGTAAGCAGCTGGCATATACGAGGGTAAGGATGGGTCTGTTTTAATGTACACCACAGCAAGCAACTGGAATATACAAGGGTAAGAATGGAGCTGTTTGAATGTACACAACAGCAAAATACTGGAATATACGAGAGTAAGGATGGGGCTGTTTGAATGTACACAACAGCAAACAACTGGAATATGCGAGGATAAGGATGGAGCTCTTTGGATGTACACAACAGCAAGCAACTGGAATATACGAGGGTAAGGATGGGGCTGTTTGAATGTACACAACAGCAATCAACAGGCTTATACTAGGGTAAGCTGGGGGCTGTTTGAATGTACACAACAGCAAGCAACAGGCATACGAGGATAAGGAGGGGGCTGTTTCAATGTACACAACAGCAAACAACTGGAATATACGAGGGTAAGGATGGGGCTGTTTGAATTTACACAACAGCAATCAACAGCCATATACGAGGGTAAGAAGGGGGCTGTTTGAATGTACACAACAGCAAGCAACTGGCATATACGAGGGTAAGGATGGGGCTGTTTGAATGTACACAACAGCAAGCAACTGGAATATACGAGGGTAAGGATGGAGCTGTTTGAATGTACACAACAGCAATCAACTGGAATATAAGAGGGTAAGGATGGGGCTGTTTGAATGTACACAACAGCAAGCAACTGGAATATACGAGTGTAAGGATAAGCTGTTTGAATGTACACAACAGCAATCAACAGGCTTATACTAGGGTAAGTTGGGGGCTGTTTGAATGTACACAACAGCAAGCAACTGGAATATACGAGGATAAGGATGGAGCTCTTTGGATGTACACAAGTGACAACAGCAAGCAACTGGAATATACGAGGGTAAGGATGGAGCTGTTTGAATGTACACAACAGCAATCAACAGGCTTATACTAGGGTAAGTTGGGGACTGTTTGAATGTACACAACAGCAAGCAACTGGAATATACGAGGGTAAGGATGGGGCTGTTTGAATGTACACAACAGCAAGCAACAGGCATACGAGGATAAGGAGGGGGCTGTTTCAATGTACACAACAGCAAGCAACTGGAATATACGAGGGTAAGGATTGGGCTGTTTGAATGAACACAACAGCAATCAGCTGGAATATACGAGGGTAAGGATGGGGCTGTTTGAATGTACACAACAGCAAGCAACTGGAATATACGAGGGTAAGGATTGGGCTGTTCGAATGTACACAATAGTAAGCAGCTGGCATATACGAGGGTAAGGATAGGTCTGTTTTAATTTACACCACAGCAAGGAACTGGAATATACAAGGGTTAGAATAGAGCTGTTTGAATGTACACAACAGCAAAATACTGGAATATACGAGGGTAAGGATGGGGCTGTTTGAATGTACACAACAGCAAGCAACTGGAATATACGAGGATAAGGATGGAGCTCTTTGGATGTACACAAGTGACAACAGCAAGCAACTGGAATATACGAGGGTAAGGATGGAGCTGTTTGAATGTACACAACAGCAATCAACAGGCTTATACTAGGGTAAGTTGGGGACTGTTTGAATGTACACAACAGCAAGCAACTGGAATATACGAGGGTAAGGATGGGGCTGTTTGAATGTACACAACAGCAATCAACAGGCTTATACTAGAGTAAGTTGGGGCTGTTTGAATGTACACAACAGCAAGCAACAGGCATACGAGGATAAGGAGGGGGCTGTATCAATGTACACAACAGCAAACAACTGGAATATACGAGGGTAAGGATGGGGCTGTTTGAATTTACACAACAGCAATCAACAGGCATATACGAGGGTAAGAAGGGGGCTGTTTGAATGTACACAACAGCAAGCAACTGGCATATACGAGGGTAAGGATGGGGCTGTTTGAATGTACACAACAGCAAGCAGCTGGCATATACGAGGGTAAGGATGGGGCTGTTTGAATGTACACCACAGCAAGCAACTGGAATATACAAGGATAAGAATGGAGCTGTTTGAATGTACACAACAGCAAAATACTGGAGTATATGAGGATATGAGGGTAAGGATGGGGCTGTTTCAATGTACACAACAGCAAGCAACTGGAATATACGAGGGTAAGTTTGGAGCTGTTTGAATGTACACAACAGCAAGCACCTGGAATATACGAGGGTAAGGATGGGGCTGTTTGAATGTATACAACAGCAAAATACTGGAATATACGAGGGTAAGGATGGGGCTGTTTGAATGTACACAACAGCAAAATACTGGCATATACGAGGGTAAGGATGGGGCTGTTTGAATGTACACAACAGCAAGCAACTGGAATATACGAAGGTAAGGATGGGGCTGTTTGAATGTACACAACAGCAAAATACTGGCATATACGAGGGTAAGGATGGGGCTGTTTGAATGTACACAACAGCAATCAACAGGCTTATACTAGAGTAAGTTGGGGCTGTTTGAATGTACACAACAGCAAGCAACAGGCATACGAGGATAAGGAGGGGGCTGTATCAATGTACACAACAGCAAACAACTGGAATATACGAGGGTAAGGATGGGGCTGTTTGAATTTACACAACAGCAATCAACAGGCATATACGAGGGTAAGAAGGGGGCTGTTTGAATGTACACAACAGCAGGCAACTGGCATATACGAGGGTAAGGATGGGGCTGTTTGAATGTACACAACAGCAAGCAACTGGAATCTACGAGGGTAAGGATGGGCTATTTGAATGTACACAACAGCAAGCAACTGGAATATACGAGGGTGAGGAGGGGGCTGTTTGAATGTACACAACAGCAAGCAGCTGGCATATACGAGGGTAAGGATGGGGCTGTTTGAATGTACACCACAGCAAGCAACTGGAATATACAAGGATAAGAATGGAGCTGTTTAAATGTACACAACAGCAAAATACTGGAGTATATGAGGGTAAGGATGGGGCTGTTTCAATGTACACAACAGCAAGCAACTGGAATATACGAGGGTAAGTTTGGAGCTGTTTGAATGTACACAACAGCAAGCACCTGGAATATACGAGGGTAAGGATGGGGCTGTTTGAATGTATACAACAGCAAAATACTGGAATATACGAGGGTAAGGATGGGGCTGTTTGAATGTACACAACAGCAAAATACTGGCATATACGAGGGTAAGGATGGGGCTGTTTGAATGTACACAACAGCAAGCAACTGGAATATACGAAGGTAAGGATGGGGCTGTTTGAATGTACACAACAGCAAAATACTGGCATATACGAGGGTAAGGATGGGGCTGTTTGAATGTACACAACAGCAAGCAACTGGAATATACGAGGGTAAGGATGGAGCTGTTTGAATGTACACAACAGCAAGCAACTGGAATATACGAGGGTAAAGATGGGGCTGTTTGAATGTACACAACAGCAATCAACAGGTTTATACTAGGGTAAGTTGGGGGCTGTTTGAATGTACACAACAACAAGCAAATGGAATATACGAGGGTAAGGATGGGGCTGTTTGAATGTACACAACAGCAAGCAACTGGAATATACGAGGGTAAGGATGGGGCTGTTTGAATGAACACAACAGCAATCAAGTTTCAACA